GAACGGGTCAGGCGGTGCATTCCAGAAAGAGAGAGTAATCAGAACACAAACACCACACAAAATCTCACAAAGGTTGAGTTATTGACTCTAAAATCAAATAACAAAACTGACTCAACCGAGGAGAAATAGAGAAAGAAATGCAAACCGACTGGTTGGGTTGCCTCCCAACAAGCGCTTCTTTCACGTCGTGAGCCGGACGATGGCTCCTAAGTTTCGGTCCATGCTAGAACCTCCTTGAAGTTGAGGTTCTCGTCGATGAGGTGGAGTCTCAAGTCACAAGCATGTGGTATGACAGGTGATGGAAGCTCGTGCACTTGATGCAGATGAAGTCTCCACCCTCGAGACCTCTTCTTCTCTTCTCTCGTCTCATTGCCCTCAAACCAGATAAGACAGCATCGATTGGCCACCATCGCGTCTACCAAGAGGGACCGATGTCGATGTGGCCTTGGTCTGGCAAAGAGACACTGCAAATGGGTCCTTGCCAAGCAGCTCCTCGAAGTTTGGTGGAGATATCACATGTAACTCATGGCCGGTGCAGGCCTCTTCCACCTTAACTCCGTCCTCAGCCTGGACGCCAATTTCTTCTTCAACCTCCCTTTCTTCTACATGTGGTATCACCCCTGGGAAATGATCAAGAACTCCTCCTGCTTCATTTTCTTCATCCTCCACAACTTCTTTCTGCACCCTTTCTCGCTCTTCTTCTTCTAGCACGGATTGGAGATCAAGTTTCCAAGCAATTTCTTTCATGAGATCTTCTTCCATCTCCTCACTCATGTCCGCCTCTTCAAAGCTCAGTTTGGGATGTGGGAAGGTGTGGTCGGCTACGACAGGACATTCCTGATCATGATCATCACGGGAGCTCTCCGTGACAACTTCAGTGTGCTCCACAATGTCCTTGGAGCCTTCTTCTTCCTCCTCCTCTTCTAGTATGGTAACAGAAGGGTGATCTGGAGCAGGTTGTGCACAAGATCGCTCAAGATCATCGACGCTCTTCTTAAGGCTCAGGAGGATCTCCTCTGTTTCACGATAAGCCTGGACACAATGATCCATCCTGGAGCATGATCTCTCACAGTCTCGAGCAAACTGCTCCATGAGAAGTCTCAATTCATAGTTTGGATCTGGCTGTGGAGTGTAGCATGGCTCTGCAGAATGGCCCGTGAAGGCCGCCATGGGTAACTCCAGCTCCAATGGCCCCTCTGGTTGTGGGAGAAATTCTTCTCGATAAGGAGGTTGTTCTTGATATGCCCAGGGGTCTGATTGTTCTCCGTAGAAAGGGGGTTGGTACTGGAACCCCACTCCATAGTCTTCTCCTCCTTGGTTACTCCAGGGAGTCTCGGGGTAATACCACTCGGATGGTGGTGGATACCCCCAATGATTGGAGAAGCCATGAGGGTCCATGATTCAGATCTGCACCAACAAAAACAAAAAACACCCAAGTGAAAAGCAAGGGCGGAAAACAAAAGAAAAACGCTAAAGTAACAAACTTCTGCCTTTCCTAATAATCTAGAAAGTCCCCTGCAACGGCGCCAAAAACTTGACACGCTAAAACACAACACCTAACAATGGCCAAGTGTAACCAATGAAAGGGACTGCAGTATAGTGGCACAAGTAATAAATATCGAATCCACGGGTCTCTAGAGTTACTATTACTCAGCTTCAGTTCATTATCTAGCAAACTAGATTAAGGATTGATTTATAAACTACTCTACTAACTACTCTACTAATTACAAGTTGTGAACTCACTTAGGTATGATTCCCCCTAGCTCCTCAATTAGGTCCAAGTTGTAATTCCTTTTGGTTGTTTTACTGTTGATTAAACTGCGGAAGATCCGACAGTAGCTTGAAATCTCTTAAGCTGACCAAGCCCTCTCAGTCTAACTATCCGGCAGACGACTAGTCTTCACCGGGATAGAAAGCTGAAGCAATAAGCACAGAACTCCACTACTGGAATTGGATTCCAGTACAAAGCAGTAAACTGGCTAACTCTCGTATAGCCAATCTCCTACTACCAAATGATGAGGCTCTAACAACCTAATCAGATTCTATCTATCTCAGGTTGCAACAGAAATCAGGAAAAGTTGATCAGACTTCAATTGACTCAATAAACATGCATCATTCGATTATAATCAAACAATATTGCATCCAAAACTTCATACAAGAAAGATCCTAACTCATGGAACTAGGGTTCCTCAAAACCTAAGTGAAGGGAAGTTACTCCATAGAAAAGAGAGAGACTGCAGAAATCTGATCTAGATCTTCAATCTCCATCTCCAAGCTTGATTCCCGAGCTCCAATGGCAAAGAAATCCCACAAAATAGCTCCAAGAATGTTCCCAAGTCGCTCTCTCTCTCTAGGGTTCGTCCCTTGGGTGTTTGGGAACCAAAAACCCAGCTCCCTCCTTTTCTTTGGCTGAAAATTGGATTTTAACCAACAATTCTCGACTCACACGGGCAGGCCGCACGGCGGTGTGGCTCACCTAGTTGCCCGTGCGAGTCAAAATGCAGCGTATGAATTAGTTGAATTCCAGGCTTCTTACACGGCCAGGGTCGCACGGCCGTGCAGCTCACCTTGCACAGCCGTGTGGATTTTCTGCTCTGCCCGTGTTTGCTCTCGCACAATCCCACACGGCCAAACTGGTCACTTGCACGGCCGTGTGGGTTGTGGGTGTGCCCGTGCGACTTCCTTTGTGACTTGCCTCGCGCCAGATCTTCGCCCAATCGACCCCGAACTCACTCCAAAACCTTCATTCACTTGCCAGGACCTGAAATATCACAAACAAGCACAACCTAGCGTGAAATCTGTCTAAAACACGAGAAACCACATCTCAAACGGTGTAAGAACAGGGGTGAAAACATGTGTAATTAACGGTCTATCACTTGTGCAGTTCATTCACCACTTCCAGAAACTGATGTTCCATGTAGTTGTGGTTCTTCGCAAAACAAGTGTCGATCGCTCCTCTACCAAACACAAGGAAAGTCTTGAATGAAGAGTGAGATGACTCAACTCTATTCGAGCTCGTGTTACCAAGATGAAACACATGGTTCGTGTAGCACTTTGCCCACATTGTCTGATGAGGCAACCACTCACCTCGCACGTAGTCGACCATTTTTATGTTCTTCTCTGTCCAGACCCTCTCAAACTCATTAATCTTTTGAAGAAGACCCTCCTGAGTCCAACTCCATGCAGCTTTGTCGAAATATTTCTTCCATACCGCTTTTGCTACCTCTCTTTTTGCAATTCCACCCAGTAATATTTCAAACTTTTGCTTCACCCAGTTGTTGACGTGCCATAAACATAGTAGGTGGACAGTATGTGGGAGAGGGAAGACCACAGGAATAGAAGCAAGCAAACCACCTTCTTTGTCTGTCACAATGACATTCGGAACCGTATCACCGAGCAACCCTTTAATACATCGCAGCAGCCACTCATATGTTTCCTTTGTTTCCTGCTTAATATTGCACATGCAATGTTGAAATTCTTCTTGACTGGAGTAACCCCAATAATCTCAAACCATGGCCAGCCGTACCTGTTGGTCTTGTAGGTCGAGTCAATGAGGATGACGTACGGCCATGCATGCAACATCTGAATGGACGTCGGGTGCGCAAAAAACAGATTAGTGAGCACATTATTAGAGTCCTTTTGCAAACAAATATGGTACCCACGCTGTTCAGCTCCGTGAAGCGCAAACTGTATCGCATCCATTTCACCCATCTCATCCAATCTTGTCTTGGAATTTATGTTGTACATCAGTTTGATATCATGATGCACACCTCCTTCAGTATTGAGTGTCGTCTTCTGCTGATTTGGTCTCACCCCCGCCTTCCTCATTAATCTTAACCTCTCTTTTTCAGCCTCACTAAACTGTTTGTTGTGTCGGTGATGTTCTGGATACAACACCTTTTCATGGTTGTGAAACCCTCTATTAGCTCCGGATTCACGACTTGTCACTCCCACTATGACCCATGTGTTTGGACCATTCTTTTGCCATACTTCCTTAATACATATCTGAAACTGGCAACCAGTACCCTTCGAACTAATATTCCCACGCGTCTCCTTCGTAGGGTCTGGTTTATAAGACTTAACGATCCTACTACTTCTGTCGCAATACATACAGAGGGCAGTAACAGGATGTAGTCCAGCAGTATTCGGTTTCCATGCTCCTCTAACAATAAAGAACCCACACTCCTGAGCGATTGCTTTTGCAGCTAACTCAGCTAACTTCACACTTGCATAATGGATCCCATTCTCAAATTCCTGTGTGTAATCATGATCGGCCGGTAACCACTCTGACATTTTTCCTACAATTACAATATAATACATCAATATTCCTGTGAACCTAAACGCTAATTTCAAGTCTTAACCGCTAAATTCAACTCCCAAAATCGAATTTTTCCGAAAAATTCCAAAAACATACGGTGGGCCGAAAATTTCCGGCGGCCGGAACCTGGCCGGGCCAAAAATTTCCGGTGGCCGGAACCTGGCCGGGCCGAAAATTTCCGGCGGCCGGAGCCAGGCTGAGCCGAAAATATCTTGTGGCTCAGCCTGGTTCCGGCCACCGATTTCCGCCGGCCTAGCCTGGTTCCGGCCGCCAGAATTTTTCGGCCCGGCCAGGTTCCGGGCGCCGAAATTTTTCGGCCCACCGTCTGTTCGTTTCAAATCGTCGGAAAAATTGTTCGAAATTACAAAAAAATTACGCACCTGCTTAGTGATGATTCATGGATGCGTGTACGCAGTATATGTCGAGGATAGACTTTTCCGGCGACTTTTCCGGCGAGCGTTGAATTTTTCTGATTCAATACGTTCTCTGAAAGTTGGATATGTTGTAGATTGTGAAACTCCTTAACCAAAGATGTATATATATACTTTTTTTTTGGTTGGCGGCAAATAGCAATTTGGTTGGCGGCAAATAGCAAGCCCCAATTAGAGAGTGTGTCGCCACACCGCCTCCGCGACCTCGACTCCTCCATCTGCTCTGAGTGCGTCGCCCTCGTGTCCTCCCTCTACTCTAAGCCTAAGGTCACCAGGCCGCCGTTCCTTAAGGGGCTGAGCGAGGCTGTGTTCACGAAGTAGGATTTGAACGTGAAGGCTGGATCCGCTCTATGCTTGGCTGCTACGATCGATTCCGCGGCGGATCCAGATCCCAACCAACTTGGTAGAGCGGGTCCCGAGGCTTGAGAGGCTGATGAAGAGCGACGCATACAAGGCTGCATTTTTTCAATTTTTGGGTTGAACAAGACAACCTGTCGTGGGGGAATGCTTCGCTCTCCAATACTGTGAGGAAGCTACAACGCGATGTCGCCAAGGTTCGTCCTTCTTCGTGAATTGGCCAGAATTTCGTATTTCTCTTTACAGTCTCTTTAAGAGGATGAAGAAACTTCCAGAGTCATGGCCGCAGCAGCTCCACTACTCGCATTTTTCACAACCCATATAATGTACCTCAACTTTTACAAGATCAGATGGACTACGGATGGAACATAATAGTCTAAGTCTGTGTTGCAATGGGTATCACCCAGCTTCTCACGTCGGCGATTTTGGCAGAAGTGAGCCGCCATCTGCCTCGATGGAAGGTTTGCATACTAGTAATCGGAGGCGGACTGGGCGTGCTGCTGGAGATGAGATCTACGACTTCCCTCCATACAAAGGCTACTTCGATGCTCATTCAATTTGGCATGCCACAACCATTCCTCTCACATACGTGTGGTGGAGCTTCGTTAGAGATGATGCTGACCTCACCATCTCATAGACTCACCCTGATAAAGTCTTGATGGTTTTGTAATTTTATTTTAATAGTTAGAAATGAAATGAAAAGTTTAAAAAATTAATTTATTATTTTTAAATTTTCACGTCACACATTTAACGGTCAACTCTAAAAGTTGACCGCCACGTAAGCAAAAGTTAATGGAGTTGGACGGAGAGTGACCAAACGTGAACAATTTTAGTAAATTGAAGTACCACCAATGGATTCAAATATTTCGAGTGACCAAACTTGAACGTTTTTTGTAATCTCAGTAACCAACCATGCAATTAATCCATTTGAATTGATACTTTAAAATTTCATTTTATGGGACATACATGAATCTGTGAGGCAAAAACTTGAATTATTGCTATGGAATCATTACAAAAAAATCTCAGTAATCATTTCAACTGCTGAATGAAGCCCTAAACAGCAAACATGGAGGGGACCCGCCAACCCAATGTCGAAGCAAGAAGCACCATTATATATTTCAGGTAGAGACAATGGAGTCAGCGCATATTAATTGTTACTCTTGAATCTTGATCGCCACTAGCAATGCAAGTTTATGGATCGAGCTGCTCTGTTTAGTCTATATGGACAGAATAATATAGACGCAGACTATTTTTTACTATATATTTCCAACTACAATTTTGCTCTGTAATTAACGATTAAACAATAAGCTAGCAGAGTGGTAATGGGTAAATATGAAGAAAACTTTTGACTGATGGTCGTCCGACAAGGAAATAACCAGCAACAGTTTCAGTATAAATTATGAAGACATAATGCAACGGTTGCGGTCCAGCGGGAAACCCCGTTTATATGAAATAGCCCTAAATGACTTACAAAGAAATGTATTGAAAACATCAGAAAGACAACATGACTTACAAAGAAATGTAACCTATAGTAGTATATGTGTCTATAAACAAAGTGTTACCCATATACAAAAGTCCATGAATGACAACATGAGTGTTGCTTGTTGCTTTCAATGATACGTACATAATCAATCTTCAACATAAAAGAAAATGATTATCCTTTGATTAAGTTCAATGTATCCACGAAATATTATTTTTTCTCTCAATTTATCTTCTTTGTTGATCATGACACGAATTGTACATTGAAATTATATGATTTGAATGAGACAGGACATGTTGGAGATTTGTCACTAGTACTTAAGTGAAAAATATACGGCTTTCTATTTGGTACCCGAGAGACATATTTTAAATATGATCAACAACAATGTAATAATTCCTTTGAAACTCTCACCATCATGGTAATTATAATTCTCAAAATAGCCAATTTAAATACCGGAGCGGTAGAAAAGTAATATGGAAATATTAATTTGGAACACTGACATATACTTTTTACTTTCTTACAATTATCAATGGAAATGAGTAAAATGAATTTAGTTCTTTAGTCGAACAACTGTGTACAAATTGTTTTCGTAGAAATTTTCTTTAGTGTTTGCACTCATTGATCTAAGTCTAAATAGCATAAATATATGAGATGGTAGTGAACAAATAATTAATTTTTATTATGTTTAACTTTATATATTGAATAACATCAACTTAAAAATTCAAAACCGGGTGCAATTGTGAACAAATTTATTTTCTAAATATTAAATAACAATATAACTATAAATATATCCTTTCCTTGCTCTTTGTGCACCATTTTCGTGACCCATAATGATGATTTCATAAATGCTACTGCCCTTTTAATAGGCTGATTATGACCCATTGACCCTTTCTTTAGGACCCATGTATGCTTTGTAGAAATTTGTTACAAACTTACAGTAATTAACTTGAAAAAAGATAGGGAACTTCATATTAGGAATGATAATGGGTAGGTACGGGCGGGTTTTTTGGTATTCAAGCTCTCTTCATGGCAGGACGGGTAATTTATTACGGGTCGGGGTAGATCGACCCAATGAGTATGTAATTTATATGCAAAATATTAGAAATATTCGTTATTTGTATTATAAGACCAAGGAAACAAACAATATTATGATAAATATAGTTAAATTATTGGAGAAATTGAGGTTTTCATTAATTTACAACTTTATTATAGCTAAAATTTGATATGATAAAAGGAGAAATCCTAAATAATTTGACTAAAATTACATGTAATTTAGGCAAGGGATCAAGAATGGGGCGGGCCAGGGCAGATCGGGTCGATAGGAGTACCCATGCCAGCCTCGCCCCACCGACCCGCCCCAAAACAGGTCAAACAGGTCGGATAAAATGAGCCAAGTCAAAATTGTCGTCCCTTCTTATTGGCACAATTTTAACAAATTTAGGGGATTCAGTCTCGACATTCATTTCCACACAAACTTTCGGATAACCCAAGCGAGCCGTGTACGAGTCGACGAATCTGTTAACTGCAGGAGCAGCTTGAAGGCCAAGGCAAAGATTCAAATCACAGCTGGAAATGAGGTTGCTGCCCAAAAACAGTTAAGGCAAGTTGTCGAGTCAAAGGAAGAAAGAATAAGAACTTACCATACATGAAGATCTCAAGGGAATTTGAATTCCCAACAGCTACATTGCAACCTATAAAAGGCGATTTGAAGGAAGAGCAAGACAACCTTTCAAGAGATCAAAAAAGCTAGCTAAGACAAAAGGGGATTTTGTGAGAGTAGCAAGGTTGATAGGAAAGGGGGTTTTCTCAAAGGGTTCGGGGAGAATTGCTTTGAGGGTTAGTGTTGGGGAAACACTGGTTTCGAGTTGCTGGGGAAGCAATTCGGGTTTGAGAAGAGAGTGTTTGATCGATCGGGTTGAGATTGATCAAAGGGTTCTTGGGTAGATAGCTTGTAACGACGAACTTCAACGCAAAATCATAGTGAATCGTCGGAGATCACACAATCGTGATTCTCCGACCGTGGAGTAGTCAGTATTGGGATCCTCATTCTCCCAATACTGGAAACCACGTAAAAATCGCCCGCTGTGCTTTTATTCTGTTTCTCTGTTTGTGTTATGTGAATGCTCTGTCTGTGTTTCTGTGCAGGCTGTGAGTGCAGGGATCTCGATCAGAACTGAGAAGAAAGGAAGTCCTGACAGAAGTGTTATTCATCAGTTTTCATTTCCTGGGTTTGGTTAATTCGAGTCTAACTTTCTGGGAAGAACTGTTGGGTTTTGTTATCTGTTCTTGGTGTTCTTGATTTTGGAGTGTAAGTTTAGTTAGAGAGCAGGTCTTGATCGATTACAAGGGAAGAGGGAAGTCTGAGTGTGTTTGAAAACCAATACTCACCGTATAACTTGTCTCCACAAGTTGGGTCGGGTTTATTTGTAGAGCTAAGCAGTGAGTGGGCCTTATGCTCTCGAAGCCCATTGGAGGAAAGAGGCCGAGTGTCTGTTAGAGTAATAATTGGTTGCTAGGCTAATTAAATCGGAAGTAAGAAGTTAGAGGAGAAAAGAATAGTTGACTTTTTAATTGTTTTGACACTATCATAAAATCAGTAGGATTAGAATTAGTTAGTTTAAAACTAAATTAGGGTTCTTAATCATACTAACTCTTGTGCTGTGATTTAGTTATTTACAAGACAGGTACAAAAGTCTCGCGCTCGACGCAACCAACACGTGGTATCAGAGCACGGTCACCGTAGAACAAGGTCCAACGACCTCCGGTGCTAATCGAAATGGCGTCGGGTTCCAAGAATAATGCTCCACTCTATTTGGCTGACGGATTCCCTCAAAATCGGCCTCCCAGATTCGAAGGAGTTAATTATGGATATTGGAAAAATTGCATGGAATTATTTGTTGGATCTACAGATCCAAAACTCTGGGCCAGAGTCATTAAGGGTCCGTATGAGCTCAAGGAGGATCAAGAAAAATGGACAGACGAGGACTTTGAGAAATTTCAGCAAAACTGCAAGGCAACTAATCTCATGTATTGTGCACTCGGTCCAGAAGAATATCACAGAGTTGCCGGTTGCAAGACTGCTAAGGAAATTTGGGATAAACTCCAGGTTACTTATGAAGGTACCTCTCAAGTCAAAACATCTCGAATTAATTCCTTAAAACAGCAATTCGAGTTGTTCAAAATGGAAGAAGGAGAAACGATCCGGCAAATGTAGGAGCGTTTCACAAACATTGTGAACAGTCTGGAGAATCTTGGGAAATCATATGAAAGTGGAGATCTCGTTCGAAAAATCTTATGGAGTCTCCCAGAGCAATGGACTCCAAAGGTGACTGCAATAGAGGAAGCTAAAGACCTAGAGACATTAGCCATAGATGAACTCATCGGGTCATTAGCAACTCATGAAGACAAGCTCAACAAGGGAAATCATGATAAAGGGAAAAAGGGGATAGCCTTCAAGGCTACCACATACAATGAAGACACAGAAGATCTCGATGATATGGAGGATGAAGAATGGGCTCTACTAAGCAAGCAAATTAGTAGACTACTTCGAGTGAGAAGAGAAAAACGAAGAGGAAACTTCATTAACAAGAATAGAGAAGTTGAGAAAGAAGGTGGTACATCAAAATATCCTCAATCAAGAACATTCCACAAAAGCAGGATTGAACAACTTCAGCCGATTAAGGTTCAAAACACTACCGGATGCTTTAGATGTGGAAAAACTGGGCATATCAAGGCTGAATGTCCTCTAGCAAGAAAAGAACGAGCCATGGCTGCAACATGGAGCTATAGCGAAGAAGAAGATGAGGATGGAGAGGAAACAAAAGAAGAAAGCTACATGGCAATTGATGTTGAAGAGCCATCATAAAGACATAACTCAAACGAGGTAAAATCTTCCAACCATACTCATTTCAGTGACAGTGATTACTATAGTGATGATGATCTATTAGTGTCTACTATTAAGGAAATTCAGTTAGAGTTTGGAAATGTTAAAGTAAAATACTCTAAACTGAAATCAGATTATGCCAAAATAAACATTGAATATGATGAACTAAAAAAAGGAGGCGGTCAGATTAAAAGAAGAGTTAGAAGAAACTACTAAGAAAGTTGAAGTCTTAGAAAATGAGAAATCGAGTCTCATGATAAAACTTCAAGAATCATTAGAAGGAAATAAAATTGAATCTCTAAGAAAGGAAGGTAATTCTTACCTAAATCATTCCACTAAGGGATATTGTGAAAACGTAGGATCAAATTCATGTAGTAAAGGCAAGTCAAGGATTGTTGAAGAATCAATAAAGCATGAGAGGAATGGACCATCAAAGCAAAGATATAGAAACATCGAATGTTTCTATTGTCATAAATTTGGGCACATTAGGCGAGCATGTAGGAAGAGAATTCTAAATGAAAAAAATAGAACTTGCTTTACTTGTCACCAAGTCGGTCATATTAGTAGATTTTGTTTTATCAAAGATCACAAACAAACTGTATCCAAGAAAGTCTGGATACAAAAACCCAAAACTGCATGACTGCTAATGGCGCAGGTTTGCTTCCAAGTGAGCATGGAGGCAACTGAATGGATACTAGACAGTGGATGCTCACACCACATGACAGGAAATCGAAACCTATTCACCACACTCAAAGAAGGTAAAGGTGGTAAGGTATTTTTTGGTGACAATAATTCTGCCGAAATAATAGGAAGAGGAACAGTAGGTTTAGATCCTTGCATTGAGAATGTGATGCTAGTAAAAGGTCTTAAGCATAATCTGTTTTCTATTAGTCAAATGTGTGGTAAAGATAAGAGGATAATCTTTGAACATGATTGCTGCTACATTGAGTCTTTAGTTGATAAGAAAGTGCTTTTCACCGGAAGACGTAAAAATAAGCTGTACGTCATAAATCTAGATGATAAAGAAAGTTTTAAGATAACTTGTCTAATGTCTTTAGAGAAAAATGATCAAATAGATTGGCATAGGAAGCTTGGACATGTGGGTATAGGAATTCTGTCTAAACTAAGTGATCTTGAGCTAGTTAGAGGTCTGCCTAAGTTAAAAGGCAAAAAGGAATTCTTTTGTGATGCTTGTGCTAAAGGAAAGCATACAAGGTCAAGCTTCAAGAGTAAGTCGGTAATATCTACTTCGAGACCACTTGAACTACTCCATCTTGATCTCTTTGGACCAACCAATGTGGTAAGCTATGGAGGTAAGTCCTATGCTTTTGTAATTGTAGATGACTACTCTCGTTTCACTTGGGTAATGTTTTTAGCTAGCAAAAGTGAAGCTTTTCAAAATTTTGAGTCTCTAACTAAGAAATTGGAAAATGAAAAACAATCTAAGGTTGCCAGCATTAGAAGTGATCATGGTGGAGAATTCATCTCAGAAGAATTTGAACTCTTCTGCAATAAGCTAGGAATAAGTCACAATTTTTCTGCTCCTCGAACTCCGCAACAAAATGGAGTGGTGGAAAGGAAAAATCGGACTTTGATTGACATAGCTCGAACTATGTTACATGACTATGGTTTGCCTAAGTACTTCTGGGCTGAAGCCATAAATACAACATGCTATTTTACTAATCGAGCTTTGATCAGATCTGGAATTAAGAAGACTCCTTATGAGATTTGGAGAGGAAGAAAACCCAGTCTGAGTTACTTCCATCCCTTTGGTTGCAAGTGCTTTGCATTAAAAACCAAAGATCATCTTGGGAAGTTTGATGCCAAGTTTGATGAATGTGTGTTTTTAGGCTATTCCATGACTAGCAGAGCATATAGAATATTCAACAAAAGGACTCTCAAAGTGGAAGAGTCCATAAATGTGATATTTGATGAATTTGCTAATGAGTGTTCAGATGAGATAGATGAAGATGATTTTGGACTTGGTGGGAGCTATGATCTACCAAGGACATCAAACACGGAGAAATCTGAACCCAGAACGATCATATCTGAAGATCAAAATAAAGCAGTAAGTACCACAAACTCTCCGATCGAGGAAGACCATGATGTAAGGAAACCTCCTCCACATATTGCTAAACGTCATCCTTCTTCACTTATGATAGGAGGGCTAAATGAAGGTATGGTCACTCGCTCTAGAAATTCAATTGTGCATACTGCTTTGTGTCTTTGGTTGAACCTAAAAACGTGATAGATGCCTTGAATGATGAAAATTGGAATGCTGTTATGAATGAAGAAATGAGTCAGTTTGAACGAGCTAATGTGTGGGAGTTAGTACACAGACCTCCTAATAGAGTTATTATCGGGACTAAGTGGATCTACAAGATCAAGTCAAATGAAAATGGGGTAGCAACTAGAAATAGGGCTAGGTTGGTAGCTAAAGGGTATAATCAAGAAGAGGGAATAGACTTCGATGAAACCTTTGCTCCGGTCGCCAGATTAGAAGCTATTAGAATGTTATGTGCGTTTGCTAGCTCTAAGGGTTTCAAACTTTTTCAAATGGACGTCAAAAGTTCCTTTCTAAATGGAGATCTAAAAGAGGACGTGTATGTTGAACAACCACCCGGGTTTGAAGATTTTTGATACCCTAACCATGTCTATAAATTAAAAAGGCACTATATGGTCTTAAACAAGCTCCTCGAGCTTGGTATGAAAAACTTAGTTCTTTCCTTTTAGGAGAAGGTTTTAAAAGGGGCTTAGTGGATAAAACTCTCTTTATAAAAAATAAAGGACAACATATGCTACTAGTTCAAATATATGTTGATGACATTATATTTGGATCTTCTAGCAAAGAGCTGTGCGAATATTTTGAAAATATCATGAAGAAAACTTTTGAAATGAGTGCCATGGGAGAATTAACATATTTTTTGGGTTTCCAAATTAAACAAACAACTCGAGGTATCTTCATTAGTCAAACCAAGTACATTCAAAATATGTTAAAACATTTTGAATTTGGGAATCTAAAAACTGCAACTACACCTATGGCCTCTACGATTAAACTAGACAAGGATGAGTCGGGTAAGTCAATTGACGAGAAGTTCTATAGAGGAATGATTGGGTCACTAATGTATCTCACTGCTAGTAGACCCGATATTCAATTCAGTGTGTGTCTATGTGCTAGATTTCAAAGTGCTCCTAAGGAAAGTCATCTGACTGCAGTCAAGAGAATCTTTCGTTACTTAGCTGGCACAATGGATCTAGGTCTATGGTATGATAGTGAGTCAAGTCTTAATTTAATTGGTTATAGTGACTCAGACTATGCTGGGTGCATAGTTGATCGTAAAAGTACTTCTGGGACATGTCAATTTCTCGGAAATTCTCTTGTGTCTTGGTTTAGCAAAAAACAAAGCTATGTTGCTCTATCCACCGCCGAGGCTGAATACGTGGCCGCTGGCCTGTGTTGTACTCAACTCCTTTGGATGAAGCATCAACTTTGTGACTACGGGTTAGAAATTAAGTCCATGCCCGTATTGTGTGACAATACGAGTGCCATTAACATGGCAAGAAATCCCGTACAACATTCTCGAACCAAGCACATAGAAATTAGGTATCATATCATTCGAGAATTGATTGAAGAAGGCCAAATTCAGCTTGAGTTTGTGTCTACGACGAATCAATGGGCTGATATTTTTACTAAACCTCTAAGTGTTGATCAATTTCTAACCATTCGTCGAGAACTTGGGCTAATCCTTTCTAGTGAGATTAATGAATTAAAGTAAAATTATCTTGTGTTGATATTTCTAAAATGAGCAGTACTGCTTGAACTTAAAATAAAATTAAAATTCTTTTCTTCGGGTATGCTCATTCTCTCAGCCTGGTCATGTAACCTCTAGCAAGACTTTGTGGGCCGAAGCCCAGGTTCCTCCCTGTCGTGGTGGAGATGTGGGCCGAATCCTTACCTAACTGTTTCCAATCCTTTCCTCTACGCCGAGCTGGAGCCGCTCGCTGGGTTGTGGGCCTGAGCCCAATCCCACCTCCAGCGACCTTTGTTTCTCTCGATCAATTCTAGAACAGCAGTTGACCACGACTTTCCCTCTTCACCTGCCGCCCAATAAAAATCCCTAAGTTCTTGTTCGATCAAATTCTTCCCACAATTCGTCTCTTCAATCGTCTATTTAAGGAAGTTCCACTATGTTGACAGAGGATACTGGAGAATCAAATCCTTTTTGTCTCAATTGCTTCCTCAATTCGGTTGATCCAACCTTCCCTTTTCAAAATTCTTTCCTGCGTAAGTCAGAGTGAGATTGATTACCCTGGTCAACTCCCTAATGCTTATAGCAATCGTGAGATTCCTTGAAAAGGTACAACTAGCTTTTCCTCCCTTCCCTTCCGATCTGCTTCCTAAAATCTCTATCAATCCAAGCCCTATCAATTCTTTCCCAATGGAAGCACGAAGCTCATGACTGGGGATGCAGTAGAATCCGATCTTCATCTATTAATTGATCCTATTAAATGGGTTGATTTGAATTTCCCTATCTCAAACTCCTTCCAGTTCTGTCCCAGAAATCGTCACTATAAAAGCCTACACTATTCCTGTGAAAGCCTCGTCCCAGCATCTCCATCCAAAAGGCAGCAGCTAAAAATCCTCTTTTCACTCTCTCATTCACCATGGCACCGAGCAATCCACAGCTCAGTGTGACTCTTGCCCCCGCTGCAATTTTCACCAATCGGGGTTTCCGAAATGCTGAGGCTTACTCCAAGTATCTTCGGAGCTACCGTGATCGTAGTCTCCACCCCTCGTTCCTCATTCCCCCGACTACCTTCAATCGATATAGATTGCGGGTCAATGGGTACTTAAATGACCTCGGGTGGAGCTCGCTGCTCAAAAATCAGCTCCTTGATCAATGCCCCGAAGCCGTGAGGATGTTCTACGCAAGAATGCAGTGTGGACCTGGCCGCAATCCGTCGTACTTCACCACCACGGTCTACAATTTCAGTGTGACTGTCACCGCTGATATGCTGGCCAATCTCCTGCATCTCCCTCACGGTGGATATTCAGCAGGCACAACTGAAGAATTCGACAGCTATGGGTTCCACCCTATCGACACCATGTCATATCTCGCCCGAGATTCTGGGACGTATCAGTCCTCCATGTTCTCCGTCGAAAGGCTACCTGATGACCTGAAGGCTCTTCAGTTCTACATCACGCACATGTTCCTTCCACGAGATGCTGCAACAACCACGACCCTTGAAGAATTTGATCTCTGGATTCTGTTTAACGCAAGAACAGGCTGCCCAATCAGCTATGCCTCTCTCATGTTTAATCACATGATTAAATATCGAGAAGAGGATTGTGGAGGGAAGCTGCCTTTTGGTCCGCAAATCACCACGTTGCTGGCGCTTGTAGGGGTCGATATGCGTGAGAAACTGACTAATCGTGATGTTCACTCCGACCTGCAAGCGCAACATGTCCTGCGACGTACCCTCTCGGGGCTTGGACCCCGTAAACTTGCCAAAGTTCAAGAGGGAGACAAAGCTGCAGACTGTGAATCCGAGTCCGAATCAGATTCAGCAGAAGACGACAATGATGAGGGAATCTGGTTAAAGGACATGGCAGCAGTATACCCTGCTGATGGGATCTCCAGGCTTGACAAGGGAAAGGGAATTGCTGAATCTTCGGGAAAGCGCAAGAAGACGCTGACCTTGGAGCATATTTAGGAGGGGGTAAGGCTGGAAAATGAAGGAAAAAGCCTCCTCCGTGATTTTGCCTTGTCACTAAAGGGAAAAGAGGCCAGCTCCTCAAGGAAGAAAGTAAACAGGGTTTTATTCATACCTTCGGGGGATGAGGAAGTCGATCCATCTGAGTATGCCTCGTCTCCGGAGTACACCTACTAGGATTGGTTTAGATACTTGGTTTAGGGGGAGATCCATGGATGAATTAATGGTAGTTGAATGGTATGGGTCGGTTATTTAAAATAGAAGTCGGCTGTCTGTTTTTTTTTTTTAGTCATAGTCTGTTATGTCATTTGAGTCTTGTTTGGTTGATTTGAGAATAAGTCTTGAAGAGTATTAGTGTTGAATGTGTTTTGGTGATTATGTTTATGAATAAAATGGACTCCCAGTTGTCTTTTGATCACGTATTAGTCATTAGTAGTTGGACAGGCTACACCAACGGTTTGTTTAAGTGTGCAGAACCTTGAAGCAGCTTAAAATGAACCTTGGAAAAGTTTAGGGGAGAAGCTTGGCCATTGACAAGCTGAGGGGGAGAATGTTAACTGCAGGAGCAGCTTGAAGGCCAAGGCAAAGATTCAAATCACAGCTAGAAATGAGGTGGCTTCCCAAAAACAGTTAAGGCAAGTTCTCGAGCCAAAGGAAGAAAGAATAAGAACTTACCATACATGAAGATCTCAAGGAAATTTGAATTCCCAACAGCTACATTGCAGCCTATAAAAGGCGATTTGAAGGAAGAGCAAGACAACCTTTCAAGAGATCAACAAAGCTAGCAAAGACAAAAGGGGATTTTGTGAGAGTAGCAAGGTTGATAGGAAAGGGGGTTTTCTCAAAGGGTTCGGAGAGAATTGCTTTGAGGTTTAGTGTTGGGGAAACACTGGTTTCGAGTTGCTGGGGAAGCAATTCGGGTTTGAGAAGAGAGTGTTTGATCAATCGGGTGGAGATTGATCAAAGGGTTCTTGGGTAGATAGCTTGTAACGACGAACTTCAACACAAAATCATAGTGAATCGTTGGAGATCAACAATCGTGATTCTCCGACCGTGGAGTAGTCAGTATTGGGATCCTCATTCTCCCAATACTGGAAACCACGTAAAAATCGCCTGCTGTGCTTTTATTCTGTTTCTCTGTTTGTGTTCTGTGAATGCTCTGTCTGTGTTTCTGTGCAGGCTGTGAGTGCAGGGATCTCGATCAGAACTGAGAAGAAAGGAAGTCCTGACAGAAGTGTTATTCATCAGTTTTCATTTCCTGAGTTTGGTTAATTCGAGTCTAACTTTCTTGGCAAAACTATTGGGTTTTGTTATCTGTTCTTGGTGTTCTTGATTTTGGAGTGTAAGTTTAGTTAGAGAGCAGGTCTTGATCGATTACAAGGGAAGAGGGTAGTCTGAGTGTGTTTGAAAACCAATACTAACCGTATAACTTGTCTCCACAAGTTGGGTCGGGTTTATTTGTAGAGCTAAGCAGCGAGTGGGCCTTATGCTCTCGAAGCCCATTGGAGGAAAGAGGCCGAGTGTATGTTAGAGTAATAATTGGTTTGCTAGGCTAATTAAATCGGAAGTAAGAAGTCAGAGGAGAAAAGAATAGTTGACTTTTTAATTGTTTTGACACTATCATAAAATCAGTAGGATTAGAATTAGTTAGTTTAAAACTAAATTAGGGTTCTTAATCATACTAACTCTTGTGTTGTGATTAAGTTATTTACAAGACAGGTACAAAAGTCTCGCGCTCGACGCAACCAACAGAATCTACCCAAAGCAACTTTACAAATTCAATTTCATCTTCTTCCGATTCCCTCGGAATTTGTAAACCTCCATCAACAACTTCACCCTTAATATAAACCAAATAGTTTTCCTTACAGGTGCGAGCAAAGATTTGCCAGTGTCTTTGCCAATGAACTCGTGGCACAGATGCCATAACCCTCTATAGTGATCAAATCCAAGAGAGAAGAAGAAGAAAGCAATCAGAAGAGAAGACTATAGAAGAGAAAAGATCACAAACGAGATGAGTGTCACCGTCGAGGAGAGGTCGCAAAAATCATAGAGACATGAGAGATAATGTCTCGCTTCAATTCATATTTTTTTCAGGACAACTCTAGATATATAATAAATATGAATTAAGTTTATTTTCGGTAAAACATCAGTTTAGTTATTGAAATTCTCATATTTCGGTCTCATAGATCCTTTGATTTCAAAGTAGATCAATCAAGTTCTTTAACTTACAATTTTCTATTAATTACACATTTATGACAATAGTGAATAATATGCTACGAGTTGAATTTGATGATTAATTTTTTGACTAAAGTGGATTCATGCATTTATATTGAACATATCCTTGTAAAACATTTTAGTTAATTAGGCTGTTGGTGTCAAATATCAATATAGAAGACATAAAGGACAGGATATGATAAGGGTGTACAAAGTACAGCTTTAGTTCTCAGATAGCCTTTTCATCTTACACAGTTTACCCATTAACGAATAGGCTGGCCGGCCACCATTGGCAAAAGATAGGTGGTGCACAGTTGCTTTCGTGACACAACCCATATTTCACTAAATTGATGTGAGTTGTCGCTAAAGATTCCTCAATTCCCAACTCACTTTTTGTAACCGTATATGGAAGGATCGAAAATTTGACCAAATTTGATTCCCCCGCTTCTCATTCGTTCATCCCATATATACAACAAATACTTCTTTCCATTCCCTTTTGCCCTAATATCTCTCCAGTGGCAAGATGTCAACGTGGTGAAGAGAAAGACAAGACGTATATAATATCTTTGATGCATCATACAACAAAACAAAAGATGCCACAATGGTTTCTCCGGCGACTCAATCCCATTTTGATACCCTCCGTTGACCTTTCCCTATTCATTACCTACCTTCCCCCCGCTCTCTTTTCAACTAATTAGTGACGACCTTGTGGGGCAGGGTACACCATTTCCCCGCAATCCTGTTTCTATATATAAGGGCCATAATTGGCCCGTCACAAAAACGTACCACGCCCCATAAGCACCAGAGGAGAAGAAAAAAAGACCCAAAAAATGGTAAGTCCCCTCCCTTTCACAACTACCCATTTCTTCAGTCGTCGCCGGCCTACGAGTTTCCCATCTCCCGTTGCTAAAAGCGTTTTCTCGTGTTTCAGGAAAATGTGGTCGCTAAAGATGGTGCAGTCCAGCGGAGGCTCGGAGGGAACAGGGCCGTCCTTTTCGTATTCGGTAAATCAATGGAGCCCTTTTATCTTTCTTTTGTGATCTTCCTTTCTATTTTGACTGACAATCTTCATCTACTTCTGTGATCTTCCCAGCCATGGAAGGACTGGAGAACATGGCGTTCGTGGCTAATGCGGTGAGCCTGTTCACCTACTTCTACGGATACATGAACTTCAGCATCACCAAATCGGCCACAACTCTGACCAACTTCATGGGCACCGCCTTCCTGCTCTCCCTCTTCGGCGGCTTCCTCTCCGACACCTACCTCTCCAGGTTCACCACCTGCGTCCTCTTCGGCACCTTCGAGATTCTGGTAATAATCTGCTGCTTTCTCTAATCGAGCATGGTTCAAGAAATCTAACCGTATCGACCGATCTGACCGAAAATATCGAATATCGGATCCTAAACAATTGGTGATTTTAGCGGTGTAAAAAAGTTTGAGCCAAAATTTAATCACGAATTCAGTACAAAATAGTCTACCACTGACGAGAATATAATTTCCAAGCATTCATTACGAGTGTGCACGATGTTAATAAAATAGGCACAATGATTAAGGATCTGAATTCTGAATCCCCACCTCCCGACCACGACATTTTAGTTAGTCAATAATTACAAAAAAAATATATATATACTTTACTAATAATGTACGAGCAAATTATTTTTTTTGCAGGGATATGTTCTGCTGACGGTGCAAGCCCGGGTCCACCAGCTCCGCCCGACGCCCTGCAACGGCGCGGCGGCTTTGAGCGGCGGGAGCCAGTGCGAGGCGGCGACCGGCGGCCAGTCGGCGATGCTGTACATCGGGCTGTACCTGATAGCTCTTGGGACGAGCGGCGTGAAGGCGGCGCTGCCGTCGCTGGGAGCGGACCAGTTCGATACGAGGAACCCGAAGGAGGCGGGGAAGCTGTCGAGCTTCTTCAACTGGTTCCTTTTCAGCCTCACGGTTGGGGCCATAGTCGGGGTGACGATCGTGGTTTGGGTGAGCGCCAACGTCGGTTGGGATTGGGGGTTTGGGCTCTGCGGGCTGGCGGTTCTGTGCGCCGTCGTTTTTGTTTCCATGGGGAAGTCGCTTTACCGGATGAACGCTCCTTCCGGCAGCCCCTTCGTTCGATTTGCGCAGGTGAATTTAATTTAGAAAGAATATATATGTTTTTTTTATTTTCACTTTGGTTTTTTCTGTTCTCTTTCGTTACGACTAAGTGGAGTTGTTTATGCAATCAGGTGTTTGTGGCTGCAATCAGAAACTGGAATGTTCCGACTCCAAGGGCTGAGGACGAGTTGTACGAAATTAAAGAGAAAGGGAAAGGAGGAATCAATGGTGAAATCCTACAGAGAACTCATCAGTTCAGGTACGTATCGAACCAACACATGGGAATTTTGGAGTACATTTCAGTGAACCTCTTCCATTTCTCTTGGTTGATTAGTGTAGATAATCAGCATTTTCACTAACAATTAATTAACTACAACTGTACAAAATTCATTATAAAAAAATTGCTAGCCGTGGTTTATGTCACTCTTCACCAATGACAATATCTGACAAGTAGGAATTGATTATATAAAAACCCATCTTATCGAGTTTAATTTTGTGTATTAGTTTAAACCCACTTGACTAATCAATAATCATGCTAACAAGTGTCAATTATAAATGAAATCGAGGGGAAGAGTCACAATTAGCTATTAACTATTTTTCTCTGAATAAAAAGGTTTCGATGTGACACCTATAATTTTAATTCAATTTTTAATGACCCACACACTTAACTCTATTTAAGTCAATTGTTTATGTTTCAGTCTCTAAATATCAGAATTGGGTCAATGTTGTCAAGAGATTTTAATTGTTGGGTCCATGTCAATTAGCATCGCCAAAAATCATGAAATCGACATGCCTGGTGTCTTTACTCTTTACCCATCAATTAATTATGTCATTTAGGAAACCATGATCCTAAGTTGGGAAGTCTTCCCAACGTAGTAAGGAATACATACTAATAATGTCTTTGGAACCATATCGAGCATTGTGTATGAACTGTAACAATATCATGATATCTAATGACTTGATCAATAATATTTTCACCATTTGACCCTACTTCATATAAGTAACATATATCGATATCGGTAAAATCATACTGAAAAATAAATGAGATCAT